GGTTCCTCACACACCTAGTACTGTTTAAGCATGCCTGGCTTGCGTAATATACATTGCGGTACTTTTCTTGTTCCCTTGGCGTTCCTTACAGACATAAACAGAGTTATGAAACTGTAATTTGTAGGAGGACAAGTTTAGGAGAACATTGAGGGTTAAAGGACAGTGTCTGATGGGTGTAATGAGGCATATCCGTGCATTCCCTTGTGAGGTGATGTTATAGTACTCATAATGAAAGATCCCATGAGTCATAGAACAGCGTGGATAGATAACCTCATGAATTATGGTTGCAAAAGCACCAAAATACTGGTTGGAAGCTTCAAAACAGGTTATTCTTAGTATGAGTGTAAAACATGGATGCAATTGTGGGTCATTTTTTTACTGCGACTGCAGAGATTTGCAGATGCGAAACGTGGATCATTAAGGCCAAAGTATACTTCGGCCATCCATTGACCAAATGAGTAGGTGTATCAAACTTGTCCATCTGTGCTCATCCACGGTTGAGTATACTTTGAAAGCTGGGAGGATTTGGAATTGTGCGCGAGATGGAATTGAACGCGGAAAATTAATTATACCTGTGCCTTGAGCGATGCAACTCAATGTCACTTAACTTGTAAATCCAATGGTTAAACCCGAAGATTCCAGAATATGACTCAATATTTTTGTTTCACAACATGAAGGAAGTGTTTTCATAAATGTGACCAGTTGATGAGCTTTACCATGAGTGTTCACCAAGCTTGCAACATGTTCCTTGGTGGTTTCCATTAGGGATGCATCGAATGTTCGGTAACCAAAATTATTCGGCCGAAAATAGCAAAAAAACACTCTTTCAGTGTTCGGCCGAATAAGCGAAAAAGACAGAATAAACTGTACCGAACAATGACGTGACGCGATCAAATAGCAACCAGCGTAGAGTGAGAGGCGCAATACAACAAACATGTCAGCAGTGTGGAAGCATTTAAAACTGTCCGAGAAAGACGCAAAAATCATTACAAGCACCGACAGCAAGATACTGTTTAGTACTGCATCGCATGTCTTCGATGAGAAGAGGAAGGGGTGATTGTTGCTGGTTACTGTATGATAATTGAAATCGCGAAATGGCCTTAAAACACTTAGTAAATAAACTGCAGAACGTCATGTTTTCTAATACACGCACGCATTGCATTCTGACAGCGCTGCATGAACTCGCGGTGCTATCTGCTCGTTAGCCAGGGTTTAAAGTCCAAACCGCGAGGTAAATCTGCGCTGTAACAGTGTACTCAGTTGCTCAGTCACATTTTTATTATTTTTTTTACAAGGCACGTGACAATGTGATGCGTGCGACTTATTCGTAATGACTCATTTATAAATCTGCTGTTGTCTTCCTGCACGTTTCCGCCAAAATAAAAGTTGAGAAAAAGCAATAACTTTATAAACAATCATGAATGTTAGTATTGTAATTTTACTGTTGTTCTGTAAAATAAAATAAAAAGTAAGACAATAATAATGATAATAATTTCAACAGCTCTGTTAATACATTTATTATAACATTCACACATAGTGTTCAAATTGGTATCTGTAATATTTTCTGATGTTTTAAAAGAAGGTTCTTCTGCTCAGCAAGGCTGCTTTTAATTTTTTCTTTGAAAAGCAAGACAAAACTGTAAAAAGCAAATTTTGGCTATTTAATTTGTGCAGTGGTGAAAAAAATTGGCAAAATACATGGGGGAAAAAAAACCTCGAAAAACCTTGTTCGGTATTCGGCCTTCGGCCCAGTATTTCATTTTGTTCGGTTTCGGCTTCGGCCAAGAATTTTCATTTCGGTGCATCCCTAGTTTCCATTCCTCCATTCCTGTTGGCCATGATTTCCTGTACTCTGCAAACCTCCCCTGCAGTTTTGACTATTCTAGAATCGCATCATGCAGTTTAGTCTGCCCACTGTCCCGCTGAGTAGGAAGCCACACAGAATGGTCATTTTTATGCCTTTGATTGTCAGACAATCACCCAGTGAGTCCAGCCTTTGGTTTGTAAAAGGATATTGACCGTTTTTCTACTGCTCGCTACAGCAACTCCATTATTTGAGGAATGTGTTGGGGAGGAAAGGTGTGGTGGCCAGGGACTTCCTGTGGGGTAGGGGGAATGAGAAGGGGGTGTTTTATTGCAGCTTGCACATCAGTGTACATTGGCAAGCACGATGAGTGCGGTCATTATAGGCGTGCCCAGAAATCCCCTGCAAAAGTTTGCCTAAAAATAAAAAGCAGGTTGTCTTTCGATTGTCTTGTCTGCTGAAACTTTTGTTTTTCTGACTGTCACGCTCGTCTAACTTATCTTTCAGTAGTGCAGATGATATCAAGTGCTTTATCCGCACAAGTCAAGGGTTTTTCAGATAGGAGTGCCCCTGAAAAACCAGTCAGGTCACACCTCATGTGTCCTGCTCCCTTTAAGTTGAGTATGTCATGACCAGCAAGTGTGACAGAACGCGGCTAGCACATGACTCAAAACGAGGAACAAAAAAACCTGACATTACCACATGCCACACCCTCCAGTCTTGCTTATCAGCTCACCAAGGACACAGTGGGGCCTACAGAGTGAAGTTTACTTTCTCTCTTTTTTGTTTTGACTAATTTTCATTTAAAATAACCTTGATTGATCTCTCGACAAGTAAAGACGTACCAGTCGGACCTCAAGGATACCTTTAACCTGTTCTTCTTGTTCCCTGTCCTCTTTCAATGTGTTGCTCCACTTGAGAGCGAGGACACACAATCCCTCTCAGCAAGAGAGGTAGAGCTGCTTTTTCTGTCGCATTACCTCATCGGGTTAGTGTTTATTTTGCCTTTGTCACACTCCACTGTGCAGAGACATCCATGTTAACCCTGTCTTTCCTGGTTTAGTTCTTTACACATTGCTGGTGTCTACTTTCCCAAGGATTACATCAACAGTACCTTGACAAAGACAGATAAACGTCAACTCTGGTTGGACTACATTGTTGAAAGACCTTGTTGGGGCATTAAGTCTCACTATTACTTTGTGGGCACCAGTCAAAGTTTACATGACCGACGGTTCACGGTTCAGCTTGGCTAATGAACAACCCTCGGAGAGCTGATGGAGACCACATCACTGAACCCATAGGCGGCACAAGCTGATGTGGTGAGCTGCAATCCCTTACATGCATTCAACAGCTCAACAGGCCCCACTGAGACGCTCCTGGCCCCTCGTTTACAAAGCACAAAGTTTTTATTGTGATGAAGAGGGATTTAATGGGCTCTCGGCTTGTAGTCGTGACTTCATCAAAGAGTGTTTGGTTGAGTTAATTAGTCTGATCTGAACACGTGACCGAATCCTTGAATAGCAATGTCTGGGAAGTATTGTTTTCCATTCGCATTTGTGCTTGTCGGGATGGTGAAGGGATTAAGCTAATGTGGCCCTCTTGGTACTGGAAAGACTAAGCTCTTTCATTGCAGGATTGTCTTATCATAAGGTCTCATTTATACGGTTGGTTGTGAGATCACTATAGATTTATTGATTTATTCAAACTTTATTTTTCTCAGATATCACAAGCCACCTGTCCAAGCAGTCTCGTCCATAAGATATCTGATTGATGCACTAGTTAAGCAGCTGTTACTGGGTTAATCTGTTTAGCATTCCCCCATTCAGAGCTGTGAGGGTGTTAAGGTCAGGTTAAGAGTGTAACCAACCCTTACTAAAGCAAAGTAGCACCAGGAATGGATTTATGAGCAAATGGACAGTTCTTCCATACTAACTTGAGATGGTTGAGGATAGTTGACTAGTCTCACTAGTGAGTTTTAACTAGATTTTGTTATCGGCATTGCTTTAATGATCAGTTTATTGACAGGAGAAAGCTTTAGCGTATTGTGCTTTAGCATTTGCCATGGGAAAAACCCTCTCTGAGAATGATAAACTTAAATATGGTTTTATAGTTATTTATTTACAGGTATTTAGTTATGTTGTCTGTTATCCTAATGGAATGCTGAACCTAGCGTAGAAAGAATAATACAATTATTATATAGTCTTTTTGAAGAGTAGTTTTGCACATCACTAATACTACAGCAGCAAAGTAGCGTAAACATGTTTATTCTCAGAGCTTTAGGGCTTTATTATAAACTTAGGAATTCAAAAAGGTGTTTAGCCTTTAAGTAGATGTTTTCTGGGTATGAAAACAGCGTGAGTCATGCACTGTAAAGTTCATTAACAATGCACGCAACACAAAACCACCTGTTATTGCAAACACTCCAGGCAGTCTTGGCCCATGCAGGAGGGGAATTACGACTGTCTTTAACAGTTCGCAGTATTCAGCCTCTGGACTCTGTTAGCTGAGACGGCCCTTGTCCATCAACGTGTTGTCACTTCAGCCCAGGACTGTTCCCTTATAAGGTGCTCTGTGCTTTTGTTTTGAGCTTGGAGCGCTCATGAAAGCAGATCAGCTTCTTGGTGATATGACCATGTAAGACCAGAGTGCACTGCACACGTTTCATACAATATTCTGCTAGTTGTAGCTTTTAAAGGCTATATTGTTCCAGGAGAGTGAAGTATTATAAACACTTTAAGGGTTCATATCTTGGTCATGTCATTGGATGATGTGGAAAATAATGTGTTTTTTTAACCTTAAACCGCATAAACACATTTCATTACACCAAATACACAAAATAATGTTCTTTTTAGCAGCATCATATGACCCCTTTAAATTACAAATAGAAACATTGAAAAAGCAATTATTTGTTTACCTACTGCTGTTTACTGCAGGATATTCTATTTGAGAAGTATAGCGATTATCTCCATTTGACACGTGGATGTCACTAGTTAGGAGGTGTATATGTGGGTGTTTTGGGCTCCCACATCAGGATAGGCTCATGACAAAGAAGCCTTTGATTTGTATTGCTTCATTATTCAGCAGTACTGGAGTCGTACCTCTTCTGCTGTCAAAACGAGCTGCGAGGTTGACCTATGCACTGACCTTTCTGCTTGCTAAATGTATTATATTCACTGTCTGTGTTTCTGTGTTCCAGGATGTGGAGAAAGAGAAAGAGCTGCGCACTCATCTCACTTATGAGGAGATCAGACAGAAGGTTGAGCAGTACAACACAGAGTCACGTGACCACTTTAAAATGACACTGGTGAGTTAATGGTGAACCTCCATCATCCACTAATAGACCAATAAAAACTAATCACTCATAAATCTAATCGCTAATAATTTTCAGAATTCAAAAGTCCATCCACATGAACATGAAGTGTTTGTTACCACACAAGTTCTTCCAGAAATAAAATTCTGGATTGTGTATAATATATATTATGGATTTTTTTTTCATAATATTAATATTTTGAAAAATATTTTGGTTTAACTTAAGAAAACTTGTTAGACACACACACACACATATGTAAAACTTTCTTTTCTTTGCAGCTTTATCTTTTTGTAATATTCTTAAGTAATATTTTATTACGTTTTGCTCAATAAAAACACCATTTGATGTTTTTATAGTCATTAATTAAAAAAAAAATTGAAAGTTGTACAAATATTTTTAAAAATCATACCTAACAAACATAAATACATATTGCATTTCTGAAAACTTGACATGAATTTTTTATATACATTTTTGTCTAATTTTTCTCTATTTCAATGTCTCAGAATTATGATTGCCCCTTTAATAAAGAGCTTTATCAACGTCAAATGATACAAACATTAAAAAAAAAAACACACACAACATGAATGCAAATTGCAATTCTATGAACTCTAAGACTGTATTTTTAATATAGATTTTTTTAAATCTTATTTTCTTTTTCATATTCTCAGAGTTAATTATCATTGTTGCTTTAATATCTGTCGTAATCTTTTTATCATGATTTCTCATGGACCATGTGACAGCCATAAGGATTGTGATGTCAAAACATCAGACTAATTTTTCTCTATTTCAATGTCTCAGAATTATGATTGCCCCTTTAATAAAGAGCTTTATCAACGTCAAATGATACAAACATAAAAAAAAAAAAAACACACAACATGAATGCAAATTGCAATTCTATGAACTCTAAGACTGTATTTTTAATATAGATTTTTTAAAATCTTATTTTCTTTTTCATATTCTCAGAGTTAATTATCATTGTTGCTTTAATATCTGTTGTAATCTTTTTATCATGATTTCTCATGGACCATGTGACATCCATAAGGATTGTGATGTCAAAACATCAGACTTTACCACTGTACCTTTGTGCAGAGCCCAGCTGCTTATCGCAGGACTCTTTCTGTCTGGATAATACTAGCTCTTTAACAAATACTGATCTCTGACAGGACATGTTTCAAGAGAGGTGTGTCATCTGGACTTAACTGAGCCACGGTGGCACAAACACTTTGTATTAGTGTATATGAGCTTTTCCTCATTAAGTGTCCACAGTGTCTTGGATCATTAAGTTTCAGGCCTGTGTTCCAGTAGGGTTGTGTGTCAGTGTGGTGGAGATTCAGAGGAGGTCGTGAGCTGTAATTATACCCCCCGTGTCTCGCCTGTAGCCTGCAGTCACGGCTGCCATTTGAACTAATGAGCTTACAGACAGAAGCTCAAATCTGAGCTCCATCTGGACACAGTCAGATACCACAGCAAGATGTGCTCACCAGCGTTGAGGAAGATGCTTTGAAACTGAAGCTTGTCAAGCTACAAGCTATTCATCATATTAAATAGTTTAACTATACTTACTACTACTACAAGTTACTAAGAAACACTTATTGAAGTATTTGAATATTTACAAAACCAAAGCAGTATTTATTTGCCACGAAAACAGTAGAAGGATCACCTAATAATAATAATAATAATAATATATTGTTTATATTTATTTGTATTTATTTGTTTATTTTTATATATAGTTTACTTTATATTTGAATTGAGTCCACTTCATAACTAATTAACTTTGGAACATTAACACAGTCATAGAACTTATTTGAATCGACACTGAACTAAATTGAGCTGAATAATGGCAATATTGTCTTTTTAGAGCTGCTTTAACGCTGAAATTGTATTTGTTTCATAATTGGAAAACTTTGCTAAATTTTACTGTTATTTTCTTTTCACTGTGATGCTGCTTTGAAACAATCTGTATTGTGCTATATAAATGAATGCAATTTGACTCTCAAACTTACTAAATGCAACTAAAATATATAAAGAAATATATACTGTTACTGTAAGTATTTTTCTAAAAAAAAAAAAAAGGCTTAAATATTAGTGCACTGACAACTGAACAAATGAATCAGTGTTTTGAATCAGTTCATCGAAATGAACTGCCTGAAAGGAAACAATTCACTGAAATGAATCAGACTTTCTGAAAGGTACATGACAGTGGAAATCTTCAAAGAAACATTTCATAATTGTCCAAAAATGCATCCTAAAAACAGCAATGTAGCATTTTCTCAAACTAAATGGCTGCTCACTTGAGAAAAACACTTATTTAGCTACAATAGATCATGTCTTTGCTGTTGTAATCTAATGTCAGTCTTTGTCTTTCCTCCGTCTCTGTCCTGCAGAATACTAACGGCATGTACACAGGCTTCATCAAGGTGCAGTTGGACCTGCGGAGGCCCATCACGGTGAAAGGAGGTGGGGCAGGAGGGGTCAAAGGTCAGGAGGCGTTTTACCTTCCGCGCGGCTCCATAAACACCCTGCACATCAGCAGCACCAACACGGTGCGACAGGTGATCGAAGCCCTGCTGAGAAAGTTCACCGTGGCCGACAACCCCGCCAAGTTCGCCTTGTTCAAACGTTTCAGCAGAGAAGACCAAGGTGAGACGCCAAACACGAATGCGGAAAATGCATCAGCGTGTGTGTGCGTACAGTAATGACTCAGGTCCCCTAGTGTATACAGTATGTGTTTTGGCATTCCTGAAATAGGTCAATCTGAGGAACGTGTGTGTATTTATGGACGCACTCACACATTCAGGACAGTCCTGTTACTCTATGTGCACGTATGTGCCAAGAATACACCATGCCAGCGTAGTAAACACACATACACAATAGCTGATGTCTGTGGCGACCTGTTGAATGCTCTTTGGCAGATACTAACCAGCCTCGTTCCCCACATTTCAATGCCATACAGGGATATTCTGAGCTGGGGAAGGGTCGGGATGGCCATCTACTGAGTTTAGTAATAATGATTAGTTGATTTGGAATAGTTTTTTGGCTTTATACATCAAACAGTGGATTCCTGAGAAGCTCAGCATTGGTTTTGCTCTAAGAATGTCATTGTTTCTAATCCATCTCACTGCTTTGATGGACCCCAGCCACTGTCTGAGCCCCTGTTGATGTCACACACACAGCAGGAAGCCAGACACACGTATGGCTCACTGATTTTAAGTACCTGCTTTTGTAATCTAAGCACATGGCTGGAATGTGCTCTGGTTTATGTGAAAGAAACGAATCATTAAAAGAACCGACTCATAAGAGTCATTCATTCATGAATCAGACTACACTGGTCTGCATTTGTTTTGCATACAGAAAGCAATAGAAAGATGTCTTGTCTGTATTATTTTTCTTTATACAGTATTTTATCTTCAGATTGCAAATCTAAAACAAAATGGCTTAAAAATCAGGCATTATCATGGGAAAAAGTTTGGATATTACCTTATTTAAAAAAATTTTTTTTTAAATATTTGTTTGTTGTTTCCTCTTATTAAATGTACTTTAATGGTCTCTGTACAGTTGGTTTTCTGTATTTATTTCTATATAAAATTAAATCATTTTTTTATTTCATTTTCTCTATCAGTTTATCATTGAAAAAAATCTGGATATTACCTTATTTAAAAAAAGGGAAATAATTTACAAAATTACTCTTAAGTAAATCCCGAAATTATCTATTTATCCATGCTATTTTTATTTATTTATTTACTTTATGTTTGAATTTTTATAAGATTTTTTAAGATTTCACTTTTTTATTGAATATATTCTCTAGACTACTGTCTAATGTACTTGTTTTAATGTACTGCATTTTATTACTGATCCAAATACAAAAAAAAGACTGCAAACTCAGGTAAAACAATTTCTTTTGCCATGGTGCCTTTGATTCGGATGCACTGAATAGCAATTCTGCTTGATTCATTGGATGAACTGAGCATCGTAGTACTTTGGGGAGCAATAACGCTCATCTTTAATTAATTTGTAGGAGTGTGTGTAGGAGCCAATAAGTGCTGCTGCCAATGGGGGAATATTTGCTTAGGGTACAGTTGGTTTTCTGTATTTATTTCTATATAAAATTAAATCATTTTTTTATTTCATTTTCTCTATCAGTTTATCATTGAAAAAAATCTGGATATTACCTTATTTAAAAAAAGGGAAATAATTTACAAAATTACTCTTAAGTAAATCCCGAAATTATCTATTTATCCATGCTTTATTTATTTATTTATTTACTTTATGTTTGAATTTTTATAAGATTTTTTAAGATTTCACTTTTTTATTGAATATATTCTCTAGACTACTGTCTAATGTACTTGTTTTAATGTACTGCATTTTATTACTGATCCAAATACAAAAAAAAGACTGCAAACTCAGGTAAAACTCAGGTATTTCTTTTGCCATGGTGCCTTTGATTCGGATGCACTGAATAGCAATTCTGCTTGATTTATTGGATGAACTGAGCATCGTAGTACTTTGGGGAGCAATAACGCTCATCTTTAATTAATTTGTAGGAGTGTGTGTAGGAGCCAATAAGTGCTGCTGCCAATGGGGGAATATTTGCTTAGGAGGCTGTCTGGGATGATTTTTTTTTTTTGAGACGGAGCATTTTCATGAGGTCTCACCACCGTGAGAGAGATCTCCAGCACACGCTAGGATACAGATATGCAACACTTTGTGTTTGGGTTGGGTTTTACAGCTGGTTTTAATGCATGTAATGGGGCCGTCCAGCTCTTAAACAGCCCATCTAGACGGCTTCAAGAAATGCTACAGTTAGACACTGATAAACTCCCACCTCAGAGCTCATTAACTGACAGAAACAGACTCAGAAACAGACAGACCCTCATGTGTGAAATCACAGCAGTAGGGCATATAAAAGACCATGAATCAACCGCATTAGTGTAGAAATAATAACAGCCCTGCTTGTTCTGATTAACCGCTGCCGGAGGCAGAAGGAAGCCCCCATTAAACAGGAAGTGAGGTGAGAGGTTCCTCAAGAATGAAGAAATGCAGGTCTGCGCCCTTCACACTCTAGGTGGAGGAAAATCTCCCATAATGCTAGAGTAAACGCAGAAGTTCTAGAGAATTACCTTTTGTTCCTGATATGAGGTGGTGCACTTCCTTTTTCATGCTTAAAGTTTGTTTTTGCTCTGAATTTTGGCCTTAGATCAACATTCAGCGGCGGTGTTGTTTTGCATGTCTTCCTCTTTGCGTTGTGTCAGGCCTTTATTAAAGAGAACCTGATTCAGGGCTGAATTTAAAGTTTAGCTGCTTTAATTGACATGAATTTACTTTTCAACTTTTCAGAGAGGATCTTAGATACAGTTTTTATGCTGAAACCCTCTCTGAGAAGTTTTGTTTCTAAATTCATCCTCTTTAAATGGTTATATCCAGGGTTGGGGAGTAACGGAATACATATAACGGCGTTACGTAATCAGGATACAAAAATCTAGTAAATGTAATCCGTTACAGTTACATCAAAAAACAAAGTATTCATATTACAGTTACACTGTGTAAAAAGTGGGAATACTATCAGGATTACATTTGTTTAATTTAAAATTAAATAAATGAGTATTTTGACATAACGCTATATATTTAGCGCTGCTTCATCATAGTTTCTGGTAGAGCCCTGCACGGGCCTCAGATATAGGCCTTAGCCCGGCCCGTGTCCGACAGCTTATCAGAATTACCGTCCTGAGCCCGTCTTTTTTCCCCTTCTCCCAAAACAGCTTATAGGCTGCTACTGTTTCAGCTATTATAAAATAGTTCAGTTTTTTTATGTAATGGCAAAGTGATTATATTTCGTTTTGTTTTTTTATTAAATTAATTTAGAAAAACGTTTGGAGCATTTTTTGTTCGTTACAAGTCGCCCGCTCTGCTGCTGCTGTACACTAAACACCGTCGAGCCGCTCTTGACAGTCGCTGTAGCACGGTCTCGTGTTGTTTCCACCAGCGCAGCAATTTTTTTTCATCACTAATTGATGGATGTCTAAAATATAAAAATAAAGACTAAAACAGTCCCGAGGCCGGCCCGCATCTGAACTGTGACGTGAAAATTGGCCCGAAGCCCGGCCCTAGGGGCGTAAAAAAGTCGGGGCCCGGGCTGAAATGCAGGCTTAACTATTACTTACTATTACTTATGACTTATTCACATATGTAACTTGAAGTAATCCGATTACATTACTTTTATATTGTGGTACTTGGATTACGTTACTGAATTCTTTTTTAATTAAGTAATTTGTAACTGTAACGGAATACATTTTAAAAGTAACCCTCCCAACCCTGGTTATATCTGCTAAAAACATTTGTAAAAAATCACAAATTTGGTTCCTGTACCAAAAACCCTCTCAGAGCAGTTTTCACTAAATTCATTCTCTATAAATTGTTTTATCTTAAAAAATGACTTATTCACATATGTAACTTTAAGTAATCCGATTACATTACTTTTATATTGTGGTACTTGGATTACGTTACTGAATTCTTTTTTAATTAAGTAATTTGTAACTGTAACGGAATACATTTTAAAAGTAACCCTCCCAACCCTGGTTATATCTGCTAAAAACATTTGTAAAAAATCACAAATTTGGTTCCTGTACCAAAAACCCTCTCAGAGCAGTTTTCACTAAATTCATTCTCTATAAATTATCTTAAAAAACTATTTAAAAAGAATTGAAATAAATTTTATTGTGTATTTTGATGGTCTTGACAGAAGTTTGTTTGTTTGTTTATTTATTTATTTTAGAATTTTTGTATGTATCCTTTCTGGGTCAAAACAGTCCTGAATGCATTATGAGTTTAAAGCATCGCTGTTAAAAAATATATATCAGTTGTCCTTGGTGATCCCTGAAGGCCTATTCACACCAAGAACAATAACTATAACAATAACCATGTTTATTATGAGCGCTCAGTTTGAAAATCAGGTGGATTCTGATGTCATTGTTTTTATCATTCATCAGCTTGAAAAAATCCAGTGATTTCAATTATATCATTCTTCTGTGTCGTTATTTTCTTCTTGTACTGTGGACTTCCCTGTTATCAAAGAATAAGAATGGTTATTAAAACATTATAGTTGGTGTGAACTGGCCTTTATTGTTGCCTGGTGTTGTTTTTGTCTGTGATGGTAATGGTGTGTGTTGTGTCTGTGTGTGTGTGTGCAGTGTACACTTGTAAGCTCTCAGAGGAAGAACACCCTCTCTTCCTGCGTCTGGTGGCGGGACCCAGTACAGATGCACTCAGCTTTGTCCTGAAGGAGCAGCAAACCGGTGAAGTCCTGGTGAGCATTCACTTTAGGTTTCTATCTGAATCCTATATTAATAAAAACATGTCATGACACACATCTTCCTCTCGTTCATCAGTGGGACGCCTTTTCCATCCCCGAGCTGCAGAACTTCCTCCGCATCTTGGATAAAGAGGAGCAGGACCAGATTTGCTCGATAACCAAACGCTACAACGCCTACAGAGAGAAACTGGAGGAGGCCATGAGAGCTACGGGCGGCCCGGGATAAAGCCAGTGCGTTACGTGAAGGAACTGTAGAACTGCTGCCTCTAGTGGTCACTGTGTGTAATGAACACTTATTAGGTGTCACCGTGCCAAGCGGACACCCGTTCTCAGAAACTCAGACGAGAACACTGAGCTCCCAGAATGCACCTCAGGTGCCATATTTACCCACCCACCCTCTTTCACACTTTCAGTTGTTTCTCATGTTCTTTGTTCTTTTACCTTTTGTGAACGATGCAAATGTGGAAATCGGATCTGGTTTTTATTTAATTGTTGGATGCTGTGGTTTGTACATATTTCTGTTTTGTAGTTTTAATTTATGTGGGTGAATTTTTTTTAAAATTATTTTACTAAAAGAGTCTTATTTTATGGCAAATATACTTACCGACCAGAAACTGATGGGACTGGGGATTTATTTTATTTTATATTAAATACCAAATGACACAATGTGCCCTACCAAAGATAGTGTTGATGTGCTGTTGACAAAATGATGACCTGACGGCCACGTGAGACCAAACAGACAGGAAGCGCATGTTTGTGAAAGAGAAGATTGAATGTGGTGATGTAGGGACAGGAAATGAGGACTAAAGCAAAGTCATAATCATTAGTCTCTGAACGGATGGCTTAAATACAAATAAAAACCTTTTTAAAAGTAAGCATTCTCAGGTGATGTGCTGGAATTGGAACCGAACGGATTCAGGAAGTTGGTGAAGGAGCATAGAGGATGTTGGGAAGTATGCGGGAAGTGTCATGCAGCGGGTTTGGAGCAGATCTGACTGATGTCGGACGGGGTCAGACGGTCTTTCACAGTAAATGATGGGTTGTGGTGACCTCTAGTTTAAGCAGATAATCAGTGAACGGCATTGGCTGTTCACCTCTCATCATCAACCCTGGAAAATGCATTAGAGGATGTCTTCAAGTTAAACGACTGAATATACAAGTAATGAAGATTGTTTGTTTTGAAGCTACAGCCTGAGAATAGTAGATTTAAGCTAGTTTGAGTGGCGAATATATATATGTGTAATCACACTGATCTGATTTACTGTACCAAAAGTTAATTTCACGTGCTTTTCTTCATTGCATGGAGCTGTAGCTGAAACTGTTACTGTTAGGTACAGTAAAAGAAACGCAGACAGTGCTACTTTGTCTCCGCACACAGGTCGACATTTATGACGGTGTTTGGAATGATACTTGTGTATCAGTAGGTGATTTTAATATGTATACACATTTATGTTTCTGTATGCTAGTGCTGCATGACGGTTTTCTGATTGGTACTGCAACATTATTGTCTATTGTGACACATGCATAGCGAGGTAGCGGCATCTTGTGGTCAACTGCTGTAACTACATCTCTGCAGTCTTATGTCTCACCTGTATCAGTTCATTTGATTATTTTAGACACAGATTGTGTGCTTTTTAAAGATTTGTTTCTTTATTATTATCGGTTTTATAACCTCTAACCAAAGATCTAGATAAAATGCATAATTTAATTTAAGTTTGATGCAAATTGCCTGGTGCAATCAGTTTTACACCTCAATAAACAGGTTAAATAGTAGTATCTATCTTGTCTGATGGTTTTACCAGGGCAACTTTAATTGTAAACACTGGGGTGAATATAAATTAGAGTAATTGGTGTAATTGTTGTGTGAATATAACATCACGACAGTCTCAATATATGCAATCGAAGAGGATTTTGCAGGGGAATAAGACCAGTAATCTTATAAATGCTTTTTGGGCACTTTATGTTTTAATTCAGGGAATTATTTTTATTTTGATTTATTAGTCTTCACCAGATGCCTATTGTCTTCCACTGTTTTAAATCGGCATTGCATCTAGTGGAAGCTCAGTTATGTTTTATGGAAGTTTTTTTTTTTTTTAATTAAAGCTGTTTCAGTACTTGATTTTTTTTCTTTTTCATAAACAAGTTTTTGTTTGTAGAGTAAGACTGTGAATGTTAAACTGTATTCTTGTGTCGTAAAGGGGTGTGGATGTGAGTGAACCGCTTTAGTAATTTTTAATATACGTGCATGTGTTATGTTAATTCATGCATATTTTACGGCTGTTTTAGGACATCACAGGCCAGTGCTGTTGATCTTTGTTTAACAGCATAGATAATTTAGAGATTGCTCATGAAACACAATCTGCATTTGCCAAAAAAATCTCCTTTTGTTCCACAGTTGTAAGTGACATGCATATTTTGTGGATGTTTATGAATGATGTAAGTTTCATACATAGAAGACACCAGAAGTGGCATACATTGTTTTTAAGAGTTATGGAATAAATATGCATGGTTAGAATCCAGATGTCATGCATTTTTGACAATGACGGAGGTTTTTTGAGGGTTTGTATTGTTACCGATCTGGTTTCTTTAAATAAAGATTAAACGTTTCTCAATTGACTGCATTTGTCATCTGTTTGTGTGTGTGAGGAGAAACTGGCTCAAGTGTCCGCTTGGATCATGCTGTAAAAATCCACCCATGGAAAATTCATCTCACATTTGACAAGCACAAAATTCTGGTATTTCTAATTATCTGCAACTCATTTGTCATTAAACATACTTTTATCTAAATTGCACTTTACAGAGGCAACCCACTTGCAGTTTTTCTCAAAAGGTCACACAATGGCGGTTGCACAACCTTTCAGCTCATTTACTAGCTTTAAACATCACACTAAACTGTAAGGTTTTAAGTGAGACCACAATTTACATGTGAATGATGTGTCCTCTGCATGAACCCGTGTCAAATGTCCTCATCGCTGAGCTCATCGGTGACTCACCGCACACTTCGCGCGGAGAGCAGCGCGTCTTCTCATGGCGTCCGTGAACACACGCTGAACTTTATACAACTCTCAGAAAGACCTCACGACGCAACCATGTAAGTTTACACAATTTATAAAGACCGAATATCGTATTTAAAAGACTTGGGCGTAGTGCCAATACAAACGTTCCCTTTGGATAAACAAACTTGGTGTTTTTCATTGCTCTTCACTTGCGGTCTGCAAGTGTAGTTTACTTCACATTCCCTTCAGAAGTGAAAACGGTCAGCTGTCGCGAATAACGCTGATTATTTGCGTTATTTAGTAAGAAAATATCGCGTTTCTTTTGTGCTTTCGCATCTTTTGTGTTAATTAAACATTATTTCACAACCTCTGATGTAGTTTTGATAATGAGATGTTCCTGTTCAGTAATGAAAGATAACGCGTGCGAGTCTGGACTGCCTCAAAATCTTTTTAATATATAATTACACAGAACATGTTATGACATATTTTGTTTGGTTATAACCGCCTAAACGTCTTATTATAATATTTAGTTAAAGATAATGTTTATATAAATAAACATTATGGTTTCAATATAACATCGAATTAACACAAATATTACACTTAATTCGATTAATGTTATATTTGCAACACTATTTTTGTTATTATTTTGTAATTTCTGTAATTTCTGAATGCCAGCATTCGTTTTTAATGATCGTTATATGTAGTTGAATATATTTATATTATATTTGAGTTTTTTTAGTCAGTTTTTCATGATCATTATATTTAACTGAATATTATAAAAAATATTGTGCTATATTAATATAATATTGAAATAATAAAAGTGGTACTTTTGATTAATATTATTATAATACTGTTTGTTATTAATTTGTGATTTCTGTAATTTATTTTTTCTTATTTTGTTTTTTACCATTATAATATAATATAATATAATATAATATAATATTGACCACACTGCCATACAATTGGTGTTACAGAAAATCCTGAAAGCCCATTTTTGTGATTCCTGAATGCCAGCATAATTTTTTAATGAACATTATGTTTAGTTGAATATAATAATTATATAAATAATTATTGTTATTATATGAATATAACGTTTAATTAATAAAAATGTTACATTTCTTTTGATTAATAGTATTGTTAATACTATTTTGTTATTATTTTGTAATTTTCTGTAATTTAATTCTGTAATAAAATTTTTTAAAGGTATCTTTTACATTTTTAAAAAGATATAAAAATTATATATAATATAATATAATATATATAATAATATAAAAATATAATGTAATATAAAGAATGTCCTTTTTACGGTTCACCATGACAGCCCTAGTTTTTTTTTTGCTATTATAATGATTTTATTTATTTTTTGTTTTTATTATACCATATTTTTTATAGAGTTTGAAAGCATTTGACCCATTTCCACAGGTTAGGGACGAGTGCTGTAAAGGTTTTATTGCTGGCAGTTGCAGTTGGTGTGTATCTCATTCCCTCCCCTATCGATCCCGAGCCGTACATGTGAGTCTCGTTGCAAATCTTGTAGTGAACTGATCTCCAAAGAGATTTCAGTGACGTTTTTTGTCACGCTGATGTATGTTTTCCAGATTCGAGGGCCCTCCGCCTGCTCTGGACGGCCCTCTGGCAGTGAACACACGATTACAGAGAGGTCGACGGCTGTTTTCTGGTCAACTCAAAGGCCCGGAGTCTTTCACAGCTGACCAGAAAGGTGAGCCTGGTCTTGTGTTTTTGTCAGTTTGATTTGAGAAATGCAGTCAGGTTTCATCTCTTCACTGTCTCTCTCTCTGAAGGAAACATCTACACTGGCACCGTCGACGGGAAGCTGTGGAGAATCAGCAATGAATCCCTCACTTTCATCGCTCAGATGGGCCGAAACATCCCTGAATGTGGTAAATCCGCAAACTGCTTGTGCATTTCTAGATGAATCCTAGCAGCTTCATTGTGTAAGGCACTTCATGTGGCTGGATGAATATGTATCGGCTGTCACGGAGGCGTTTGCTGGAAAAACCCAACGGTCCATGTGTCCCGCTGCCATCACACATTAGACATGCTGAAGTGATTCACAAAGACTCAAGTGTTGTTTTCTCAAAGACTTGGCTGTTCAAAAGAGTCTTGAATGCAGATGTCTTCATTAGAGCATAACTTATGATGCTTAGTAGGCTCTCGTTCCTTATGTTGTGGTTTATACACGTTTGATGCCTCTCTCTTATTTTACTGTATTTGAAATAATCATTATGTGGGTAAAGGTGTCCTTTGGTGAGTCACAAGCAGAATGCAAAATGTGTCTGTCAGTTAGCAGATACTCTGGTTTCCTGGTACAGGAATGGACAGCTTATTGTGGCCGACTCTTATCAGGGGCTGTTCAAGGTTGACCCTTGGACTGGAGAGAAGACGTTGCTACATTCCAGCACAGAGGGTCGGTAAACCTTTGAGTCTCAAAAAAGGAGCTTTGCACAACAGTTTGGTTGCTTTGATCAGTTTCATAATCATCTTGCCAATTTACTATATAGCTGCTTCTTTCTTTATATCTTTATACGAAAAGGTTAAAAGATTTTTGCCTCACTAAAATTTTTAAAAAGAGCATCATATTTACATAACCCTGTCACATTCCTCCTACAAGGAGCTGATGGGATTCCCTTTCTCTTTCTGAACGGTCTGGAGATTTCTAAAAACGGAAGGGTGTTTTTCACGGACTCCAGCAGTAAATGGGGAAGACGTCACGTCCGTTACGAGGTGAGCGAGGGACAGCAGAACATATCGTGCTTCATTCAGTTTAATTAAATGTAAGCGCAGTCAATTCACTTGCACTAAAGGCCGCTTCTCTCTGCAGGTGTTGGAGACAAACCGTCTGGGTCGCCTTCTCTCGTTTGACCCTGTGACCGGCCGTGTTCGGACGTTGTTGGATTCTCTCTACATGCCTAATGGCTTTGCCTTCTCACCTGATGAGGACTTCCTGCTTCTGGCTGAGACCAGTATCGCACATATTATTAAGTAAGAGCTCAAGTGCAGCTTTGAATTTGTTCATATATCAGGATGGTAAAGTATCGTGAGGAAGACTTTCTCCCTGCTTCTCAGGTTCTGGTTGAAAGGACCTAAAGCAGGCACCAAGGAGGTCGTCCTGAACAACATGATCGGTTACCCTGATAACATCCGCCTCAGTGACCGCGGCACGTTTTTAGTGGGCGTAACCACTGTTCGATTCCGCGGACGGCTTTTCCCGCCGTTCTTGGATCTGATTGGTCCGTATCCTGCTCTTAAAAGCTTCATAGTGAAGGTGGGTAAATCTTAAATATGTGGGGTTCAGAGTTATTTTAGTATCACTGAGTTTTACTATTGTAGTTTTTATTCATATTTTGATATTTATTTTATTTCAGCTAACTTTTTTTTTTTTGTTAATTATAATAATAACCCAGGGGAGATTTCTCGTTTTCATTTTAGTAATTTTGTTTGATTGTTTTTTAATGTCTATTTAGTTTATCATTTTTATTTCTGTTTTTGTTTTGAGTTATTTTAGTACTTCAAGTTTAACTAAATGGCAATGAAAAATGTTAACCTTGGCAGCTAGCTGAAATAAAATATATAATCAAATAAAACAGTTATGTTTGTTATATTTTATTTTATTTGAATTAGTATTTATTTTATATCCGGTCATTTTTATGATTTTAGTTTTAGTTAACTATAATAATTCTGCATTACTAAATAATTTTACTTATTATTTTTTATATAATTTTAATTATGCAAAACTAAATAAAGTTGTGTTTTTGTAATTATTTTTATTATTTTGTGTTCTTTTATGTCTATTTATGCCTAAGATGTCTATTTAGTTTGTCATTTATATACATTTATTATAATGTATATAATAATTTGTATTTTAGTTTTAGTTATTTTAGTACATCAAGTTAACCAATAGTAAATAAAAAAAATATTGCCTTGTTAACTGGCAAAGATGAAACATAAAACAGTATTTTTTTATATTTTATTTCATGTAACAATTTTTGAATGGTTTTATTGTTAGAAGTGATATACGTGGAATCTTTTGCAGCTCGTTCCTCTCAGCTGGTACAATGCTCTGCTGCCCAAGTACGGCTTGATTCTGGAGCTGGGGCCTGACGGAGAGGTGATCGACAGCCTCCACGACCCCACAGGCAGCCTCACGTGGGCCGTCAGCGATGTCTTCCAGCAGGGGACGCACTACTATCTGGGCAGCACTGACCTGCCGTTCCTGTCTGCTGGAGGAGTGGAGCTGACCGTCTGAGACGCTTACAGGTGGACTCACACATGGGAAAACTGGGACTTTTGATAGCCTTTCATGGAGAATGTAAATTTAAAAATGCACTGCAGTCTTGTGAAGAAGCTACGTGTGGTTCTAACTGAATTCTGTGACTTTAAGTCTAGTTAAGCTGTTATAATTGGTCTAAAACAGATGTTTTAACTGTATTAGTGCCACATTCTGTTTTGTTTTATAAAGTTTTTCTGAACTGCAAAATGCACTGGTCAACATGTGCACTAGAAATGGAAGATATGAACATTTTGAATAGCTGTTCCCAATAAAAAAAAAATTCTTATGCTAATGTAATGCAAAAGACAGAAATAACATGTTGCACTATTCGATGGCAGTGAACTTTGAAGCAAAACCCCAAATATTAGTTAATATACAGATCAGAACAGCATTGCAATTAGATTATATATATTAAATAAAAATATATATTGCAATGATAGTATATGTAATATTTAAGTACTATAATACATTAAATGTTAATATAAATAATAAAAAACTTTTAAAATAATTTAAGCAATATATATCACATAATTAAAAATATGTACTGTAATAAGAATATATAATATATACGTACAATAATCACACAGTTGTATGCCGTGTCTATGGTCCTGTTTATTCTCTCTATATTTTGTTTAAAAAGACTTTTACAATTATTTAACTAATAATAAATTTAGCTGAATAAATGTTATAAAATTAAGCAAAAAACAAAACAAAAAAACACTGCAACAAAAATGATTTCAGAATGCTTTTATCAATCAAACACACAAGACAAAAGTCCACACCAACCATTGCAATGCTACTAACAAATATAATTAAAGAATTATGTGCAAAACATCATTAAACATGTCAGGCATGTTTATCACAGACTGGAAAGTGCTTCACTGAACGGATATATTGAAGTATTGTGAGAAAGATCTGCTTATGCCTGTCTGCCGCCTCTCAGATCACTTTGGGTGATTTGAGATATTGCCAGTCACAGCAGAAGATTGATGAAAGTTAGGTAGTAGTCTGAAAGTAAAACAGTCCCTTATCACCGCAAGTTTGGGTTGCTGTTGGGTTGCAATAATGAAATGCTAAATACAATATTTGCACTTAGTTAGTGAATCTTTTAGTTGTTAATTCAAGTGAAATGTCTGTCCAGATTGTGTGCTGCCATACGCAAGTGACAGGAACTGAAAAAGTGAGAGAATATTTTTATATAATAAGGTATATTGTGCATTAAAAAATACTGTAGTTCATTATCATATGTAAGCCTATTTCTTCTATGGGATAAAAAATAAACAAAAATGGTAATCGCAACTTTTAATCTCACAATTCGGACTTCAGAATTGCAAGATATAAACTCACAATTCTGAGCAAAAAAGTTTATAAAAAATGTATAACTCGCTTTTATTACATATAAAGTTGCAATTCTGAGAAGTCTGAATTGTGAGATTTGTGACAAGAAAAAAAACAAATTTCTGAGGTAAAACGTTGCAATTACCAATAATTTTTTTGTTTATTATTCTGTGATAGAAACAAAAAAACACAATTCTGAGAATTCTCGGTATTTATTATGAGATAAAAGTCAGAATTCTGAGTTTACATCTCACAATTTTTTTTCTCAGAAATGCGAGTTTATATCTTGTAATTGGAAAACAAAAGTCCAAATTGTGATATAAACTCAGAATTGCAAGGGGGGGAAAAAATCCAACTTGTAAGATAAAAAGTTGAAATGACCTTTTTTTATTTTTTATCCTGTAGCCAAAAACAAGCTTCCATTCTAAGTGTTTATCATAAAAGGCAGGCTTAGTGCAGTTGTAAATACTTTTATAACTGAATACGTGGAGTGAAATGTTTCAGACACATCTGGCAAACAAACAAATAATCCAACAATTTTCAGATGCATTACAAAATTGGAGCTCAAGGTCAAAACTGTGCATGTATTTAAAGCAAAAGTAAAACAAAATTTTCAAAACATTAAAATAAAGACAATATTCTGTGTTATTGTTAAAGCAGCAAAACTGAACATTAATTGAGAATAAATAGGAATATGATGTGTCAGCCGGCAGTTTGTGAGGATCTGATGTGAATGAGAGCTGGAGGGGATGAAGGTCGTCCTGTCTGAAAGTGTCCGTGGTGTGTTTGGTACCCTGGGCGCACCCTGATGACCTCATCAGAGGAGGAGAGACTGGGCGTCTTTGGGGGAACATCAGGATATAAAGGCAACAAGAGGGCTTGTTTTTCAGTGCCCTTTATTCTTTCCCTCCATTTGTCTTGTTCCTGTAAACCTCTCCACGCTCTACTTCAGCGTCTGTCGTCGTTTGTTTCTGTGAGGCACGAGGCTGCTGAACATCAGCCGAGGATCAAACCTGAACCTGGTGAAACAGTGACAAGCGAGCTGGAAGTTTGATATCCTACCATGTTAATAATAATACAGCTATTCCCAGTGAATGCTGATTGTTGAAGTGTTAAGGAAGCACTGACTGTGAGTCGTAGACGCCTGGTGTTCTGCAGGACTGTCCCGAGCAGGACTGCAGCATCATTAGCCGGTGGTTCATCTTCTCCAGGACTTCCTGATCGATGCTCTTGGCGATGTTACTCAGCTGAAACGGGTCTGCTGTCAGGTTATAGACCTCCACAAACACCTGCAAGCAAAGACGGTGTGCTATTATTACAGTTATTAATACATATTAAATTTTTTTTATTTTTATTATACTTGGCAGTATTACTGTCAGTTAGCAGTTGGAAGCACTAGATTTTATTTTTACCTCGTTATCATCAAATTCACAGTACTGTAAGTTGGCGGCCTGTGCTACAGTGCGAACGCAGGCGTACGTGTTATTGTACGAGTCTTCACACACACAGTCGGGGAAGCACTCCTGCAGAGACAACAGCTGTATTACAGCACTCATTACTGTAATGACTATTTATTTGTAGCACGCAGAGCCTCACCGAGACCCCGGGGCCCAGCAGAGGGCAGGCTGGGTCTGAGATGTTGCTTCCTTCTCCCTCATATTCCACCAGTACATCAGATCTCCACGTGCTGCTGTTCCCTTTACCGGTCTGAGTCACAAAGACATGTCAAATCAAACACAACCCCTTGTTCATTTATCACTTAAGTTAATTATACTGAACGTGTAGCAAGAAGTACTACAAAAAACATGCATTATGCCCAAAATGACCAAGAATGCCAATACTTTAATGCATTTTTTAATTAATAATTTCAAAGTTAATAAATTCAAACAGGATTCACCATGATAGGAAGAAATGACATCCCGTCCATCTGAGTTTCATTGACGCTATATCCTGCGATGTCCAGAATTGTTGGACCCAAATCCACATTTGCTATAAGTAACTGTTAAAACAGATAAAAAAAGCGAATAAATATTATATAAAAACATTTTCTGTTAATGTAAATATTACATATACACGCTATTATTATAGCGCGCATACACAAGCAAAACATCACAAACAAATCTGGTTTAGAATCAAAACTTGTTTGAAAAAAAAATAGATTAGTAAAAAATTCCAATAATTAAAAAAAAATAAAAAAAACAAATACATACAAATTAAATAATGCGAGAAAGTAAAAAAAAAAAAAAAACTGAAACAGAAATAAACAAATTTAAAGAAAAAAATAAAATGAAGAAATAAAAAATAAGAAAATATAGTAAGTAAAAAAAATCTATTTTTTTAAAATGCTTGTTTATATTACCGGGCTTGTCTGGTTGGGTTTGATATTAGGCCCTCGCACCAACAGAGGAACTCTGATATCAAATTCATAGAGTTGCCTCTTATCCATCGGAAGAGAAAACTGGCCTGAGAGAAGAAACAGACACGTGACAAAATAAAAGCTAGGTAAAGTTAACGAAAAAACATTTCTCCGCTATATAACTCATTGTGTACCTGTGTGGTATCCGTTGTCAGAGGTGAAAATGAGGTAGGTTTTGCTAAGCTCTCCTCTGACCTCCAGCTTTCTCACCACCTTCTCCACCAGGTCGTCTACTGATAGTAAAGTGCGCCACCTGGTGGAACAGATCATCAGTGTCGCATTACTTCATGTGCAGTATTAATAGCAAGTGCGTGATTTAAAAGCATCTGAATACCGTTTTCTGTAGGCGTTATCCAAGAACTCCACTGAAGAGTTTGTCATGGGCGTCTTTGCTTGTCTGATGAGCCAGTGCTTGTCCTGAAAAGCAGGTTGAAATGCTGTCACATTCTCAAAAAACGATCCAATCAGAATATTTCAGACACATCAGGCATGTACCTTGCCGTGTACGTTAAAGTTAGGGTCTCTTGGCGCTTTAATGTTGGGAAAATTGTTCTCGTACTGAGGAGCAGCTGTCCAGGGCGAGTGCGGGGCCGGTGTGGACACCATCATGAAGAAAGGCCTGCGGTTAGACTTGTTTTCCAGGAAGTCAATGGAAATATTGGCCTGGAAGGAATCAGAAGCCACTGAACATCAAATGCCTGAGGTTTGATGTAGTCTCGTGAACACAGGTGAGATCTGCTCTTACCAGAACATCTGTAAGGTAATCCTCGCTGTAATTCTGTCCATGACGCTGCGCCCTGCCGTTCACTGACAGCGTGTAGTTGTAGTATTTGGAGTTTCTCTCCTGTAGGAATATGTTAAAATCATCGCAAATATTTCACTTTAAACTAATCTGGTTTAGAATCAAAACTTGTTTTCAAAAACCTGAAAATAAATTAGAAATTAAAAAAATTAAAAAAGAAATACAGAAATAAAAATATAAATAATAACATTTCAATAAAGAAATAAAACAGCGAAATTAAATAAATACAAAATATTAAAATAAAGAAAGACTTTTTAATAAATACATACAAACATTTTTCTGGTCTTTGAAAAAATAAAACAAAACAAAACCTTCAATCTGCTCTCAATGACACCGTGAGCTATGAATCATGGGAGCTGCTAATAGGAAAATAATTAGAATGGCTTCAGAAAACATACTTTTTCTCTTCTGGATTTATTTCTTGCATGAGTTCTTGTACCAGCTTCCCAAACATGCTATATTTTAGGCTACAAACTGTTTTCCTAACCTTCCAGCTAAAATTAGATTTTGCAGCACTGATGGGAAAGGTTGAAGAGCTTGTCATTTCTCTACTATGATTCCACAAGCCCTTTTAATTTTTTTATTTCTTTATTTAATTCTTAATTTTTTTTACATTTCTTCATTTAAATTTTTTTTTAATTTCTCTATTTACATTTTTTTTTTTACTTTTTTATATCTTCTTCTACTCGTGATTCTCAAAGGTAAGCCACCAGGCCTCTTATTTTTGTTTTATTTTTATACCATTATAGTTTTTTTAAAATATATATTTTGAATTAATTTCATTTTTTTTCAGTTTATTTGCTTTATTAGTTTTTTCTTTTAAAAATATTTCTGAATTATTTTATTTTAATTTCATTTTTCAGTTAGTAATTTTAGTACTTATTTCAGTTAGTTGCTAATTTTCATTTAGTTTTTCATCACAATAACATCACAGCTGTAGATGAACAGTCAAAAATCATTTACAGTTAAATGATTACATTAGTAAATGATACAGCACTGATAATCTCCTGTCTTTTTCTTACCAAGGCGAACCAGTGATCCCAGCCTGGAGGAACGTGTTCCACACCTCCTGATTTTTTATTCCCGTACTGTAGCAGAGAAACAGACATGGATGATTCAAGGTGACGTAGTGTCAACTTGATTCACCCAAAGAAAAGGTTTCAACATTATGAAAGCTCCCAGTATGTGTCTTCACCTCATTCAGATACTTCCCAGCAAAGAAGGTCTGATAGATGCCGTGTTTCTGAAGGAAGGCAGGGAAAGTCTCGGGCTCTTGGGTCTTCTGCCACGCAGTGCTGCTGCAGTTTCCCTCCAGCGTGTTGTTGACCACATGATGGTTATGAGGATATTTGCCCGTCAGGATGCTCGCCCGGCTGGGACAGCAAAGGGGACTGGCGACAAACTGCATGAGAGAAGAAATGACAGTAAGAGTTGACAAAATGACAGATGCAAGGGCAAACATGCATGCTGGTTGATCCTCAATGCACATTTTACTTGCTATGTCTAACAAATCTATAAATATTCTCATGTAGAACAATATGAGGGCTTTTTAAACTTGGATGACATGCAAGATCCCATAGCACTTGTATGCAACAAGGAACAGATCCAGCACAATTTCTACTCACCGTGTTTGTAAAGGTTATCCCAGCGTCACCTATCAGCTTTTTCGTCTTCACCAAAGGGATCTGTAGAACGAAAGATGGCAAGATGCTGATGATGCAGCTCGTTTACTTAGCAACGATACATGCTAAATGCATGGAGGAAATCACGACCACGGAGAATGACAACAAAAAATTCTTAGAAAATATACTCGCCATTCCACCGATAGACACATCTAGATCATCAGTTAGGATTAAAACTATATTCGGTCTGGGATTCATTTGAGCCTCGGCCAGATTGTTACAATGCAAAGTGACGCAGATGAGAATACAATGTAATATTACAAACGGAGAAGAAACCATCTTTGATGCCGAATTAAAAACAAATAAAGCCATGACCTAAACGAGGCCCTTTTCTTGCGATAAAAGCATTAAATACGGTTAAGGAAAACGCTTCTTTAGAGGAGCAGCTAGCTTGCTTTGTCTTGTGTACGAAATGACGAATCATACTATGGCGACGTTTTTGCTTCATGAATATTAGTTAGACAAGCTGACGTTGCTTGGTTACCTCTTGTGGCGTCTGGTCACGTGGCCTAATTTATATTCATAAGCCAAGCCCATTCGCAGGCATACTATAACGCCCACCTACCAACGTCTGCCTGACAGCCAATCAGATTCCAGTCCATCACTTTGCGTCATTAATATTCATGCTCGTACCCGTCGTCATAGTAGGATTAATAAAACTTTCCTGTTTCAGTCATGTGGAGAGACGGAAGCCCCGGTCAGCTGATGTTTACGCTCAAAGGCATGATGTCATTCATAAAATTCATTTTTTATGGCGTATGTGATCATTTTTTATCATCTCTACTACGTCACAAAAGTTGTATATGTTAATAATATACAATATTACTATAATGCAGTTTCTCGCTTTAATTTTGAAAACAATAGAGGACCCCTTTAACCATATCAACATTTTAAAAATAATTTTAACGATATTTTAGTAACGTAATTTTACTTTGAAAATATATTCGAGAAAAATTCAGTAATGGTTAAATTGACGTGTATTTAAATTAATTTTTATTAAATTAAACTCATTTACAAAAATACTATATATTTACATTTTCATCTCGGATATATACCCTTGATGTTATAAACGTAGTTTTTACCAGATGCTATTTATTTATTTGGACACGTTCATTTACAAACGATGAGTATTTTTATTTAAACATTTTATTGTAGTGAAAAAAACAAAAGCTGTATATTTCTCATTCACCTGTTGTTTAAAAACGTTTTGTTTGAAAGTTTCGGAGGTGGGTTGAACTATTCCTGCTGCAGGGGCGTGCAATCAGGATTTAGACCGATCAGGAAGGAAACTGGAGCCTGGGAAAGGCGCTGCCAACCCCGCTCAAGGAATGGAACACACCCGGAACTCCAGTTCCTTATTGATTCATCTAAAACACTCTTTGGTTTGTACTTATGCGCAGCATGTGTAATGTTGAACTTTAAAGAGGGCTAAAACATGTCTGGTGTGGAAGTGGCCAAAGAGGAACTTAAGGAGATAGACATATGTGACATCTGCTCGAAGGAGGAGGAGAGCGGAGTTTTCCTCAACTCAGGTGCGTCGTACCTTGACGGCTTCTCCGCGTTTCACAAATGGGCTTCAAAGGGACGTTCAGTATCGGATGGATACTGCAAGTGCGCCAAAACAGCTTCAGTCTCACTATGCAAGTGCGCAAAAGTGCCTCATGGAGCAGCAGCTGGAGAGATCCGTATGGAGAGAGGAGGAGGAGGAGGAGGAGATGTGTATTCGGATGAAGAGGATCTGAGAGCGTCCCGCGCATCATCTATAGTGGACTGTCTGTTAGTGGAACTCTATGACACATACAGTAATGTCAGAGGGGTGGACAGCTCGACCGAAGCCTCCAGCTCAGAAGCCTTCCTGGGCAGGAGTAACACTGGCTCCAACTTTCTCCAAGAACTTCAGGAGAAGCACACGAGACGCCATCAGATGAAATACCTGGCTCAAAAAGGTGAGCGCCACTTTCTTTTTCAAGTGAAGTCAGTTACATTCGACTCAAACTGTCAATTTATTCTTATTTATGTAAATCATACACTATCATTATTCCAAAAGTTTGGAATAATTACAATTTAGTTTGGAATAATTACAGTTTTTCATGTTTTTGAAAGACGAAAGAAGGCTGCATTTATTTGTTTAAAAATACAGTAAAATCTGTAACATTGTGAAATATTACAATTTAGAATAACTGTTTTCTATATTAATCTGTTTTAATATGTAATTTATTTCTGTGGTCAAAGATTAATTTTCAGCATCTTTATTCCAGTCTTCAGTGTCACATGGTCCTACATTTTATATACATAATTGTTTTATTTATTTTTGATCAAATAAATACAGCCTTGGTGAGTCTTCTTTCAAAAACATTAAAATCTTAATGATATTCAAATCTTAATTATTCAATTTTTTGTATGTGCCTTATGAAGTTCTTTTGAATGATGTATTTGAATAATTTACAGAATCTTTCCTTTTTTGAGAACCCATATTTATTTATGTTCAAATCATGATATAAAATAAAGTCTAGATGTAGGTGTTTCCTTTTGAGGTTTTCCATCATTATTAAAAAAATTTGTAGTTTTCAAATTTTTTTCATTTTTTATACTTATTGTATTTCATTTTTGCTGTGCATTTGCTTCTGGAGTGACATTACTCTTAAGCAATATTAAAATAAATATTCTCTCAATATGATTAGGTTTTAGATTTAGTGTGCCACATTGCAGAACTGACCCAGTTTTAATGCCAATCTGAGAGCCAGTTAAAACTTAACCCTTTGTTTGCTGAAGTAATTTAATTGTTGTCTCAGGTGCTCAGGTTCTTTGTAGGCCATAATGACAATTTACATACAGAGGTCTTTTGTATACACATGTACACACAGTGTTAAGTCAATCATAATGATCTTAATCTGTCTACATAAGTTCCAAGTTTTGCACACATTAATTTGAGATTTGTGTGCTTTTTTATTTTCTAAAAAAATGAATGCATTTCCTATAGATTTAAACCAGCTTTATTTTGTGCTCAGGTCCAGAGGAGCTGAAGTGGATCATTCAGGAAGTGAAGTATCGTATTGGAGTGCAGTCGGCCAAACTGGTGCGTCAGGTCAAGAGGAAGGACAGACTTCGGCAGAAGTTTCAGAAGAACTGTGATATAGTCACCGCCTGCCTGCAAGCCATCTCTCAGAAAAGACGTAATTACAAATCATTCTCTCATTTCACTCCTCTTCCAGTCATTATTGCTTTAAGTAGTCAGTGTTATATTACCCAAGGCTTTCTATGCTATTTGAAGACTAATGTATTCTAGATCGAAAGAATGTCTTTGCTTTCACTGACGCTTGATGTCTGTTATTCCTTAAAGGAATAGTTCACCTAAAAATGAAAATTTGCTGAAACCCTCAGGCCATCCAAGATGTAGATGAGTTTGTTTCTTAATGAGAACAGATTTGGAGAAATACAGCATTATATCATTCACTCGTCAATGGGTCCTCTGCAGTGAATGGGTGCCGTCAGAATGAGAGTCCAAACAGCTGATACAAACATCACAATAATCCACACCACTCCAGTCCATCAATTAACATCATGTGAAGTCAAAAGCTGCAAACAAATCCATAATTAAGACATTAATTGATGGACTGGAGTGATGTGGGATTATTGTGATATTTTTATCAGCTGTTTGGACTCTCATTCTGATGGCACCCATTAGGGCTGTGCTTGTCAGTGAACCACGGCTCGTTGTAGTAAATGCTGCTCCATCTGAAAGCAGGTGATGGAGATTTACTACAAATCACAGAACTGGCTTTACTGACGAGATGTGCATGATCATCGCATTCGATTATTTGCACAGCACCCATTCACTGCAGAGGATACACTGGTGAGCAACTGATGTGATGCTAAATTTCTCCAAATCTGTCCTGAAGAAACAAGCTCATATACATCTTGGATGGCCTGAAGAGGAGTACATTTTCATTTTTGGGTGAATTATAACTTTAAAAGGGTGTGTAGTATAGGTAGCGGTTGCTGAAAAGCTCTGGGTCCCATATATCAAATGCATTTTTTCTTCACCTTGTTCTAGTTCTCTGTTGATGTTTTAGAAGACAGTGCTCTCAAATATCTCACCACTATCACAGGATTGACTCCTCCTCACCTTTACAACTTAATTATTTGCATTAGATCCAGAACGCAGACTATGTTCAATATCACTGAAATTCAATCCATTCGGTTTCAGAGGCGACTCATTCATGTGATGAGTTTATGACACTTACATGCAAATTTGCACTGTAATGCTGTTGAACTATTGGTCTCAAATTTGTATTTGCATTTTGCTCGGAAATTAGTCATTGTGTAGTCATTGTGCAGCAGTAATTCCTTTACACATTTGGATGCAATGGGTGCTTTTGTTTTATGTATTTGGTTCAGGCACAAACATGTCCAACAAATACAGCGGCCTTCCATCTTTTAATGTCTTTTTCCTCTATTTTATCTACATGCAGCGTGACAAGTACTGTCAAACAGGTACAGTATGAAATCACATCAAAACCATAGCTCTGCATGGTTGCCATTCATCAGTCAATGTCTATTCTTATTGCAAGAGGTGTCACTTTGTAGTTGTGAATGGTTATGGTTCAGTTTTTTTATTTGTTGACATGTTTATTTTTGTAAACATGAGTAGCATGGTTTCTCACTGTTTTCTCACTGAATGCATGTCAGGAAATATACTAGAATGCTTATCATCCAATGGAAAAAATATAATATATATTTTCCATATCAGGACTTTTTTTTTTTTGCCGGAATTTTTTAAACAACTGTTTTGTGTCTCTCTCATTAGTAGCATTAAGGGTGCTCTCTTCATAGGGTGAGTGAGTTCACGTAAATTTGGAAACTTTTGGGCAATCATTAAAAAAATTTAATGATCAAATTTGCCTGATTTACCCTATTGTCTGGATAGTTACTTGAATTTGGAATAATACCTTATTGATTTATTTTTGATTATTTCTTTCACTAATAATTAATTACTAAAATAATTTACTACTTCCTCCATGTTCAAACAGTACAACAGTTCCTTTGTAAATTATTCAGCCTGCTTGTGTAAAATGACTGAATTTATGGTGATTATCCTTATTCTTATCTCAGTACTTTACTCTAATCGGTCCTAAATCAAGAATGTTTACTTTTAGATTTTCTTGTATTCTTAAAGTAAAGGTTCTTTATTGGAATCTATGGTTCCATGAAGAACCTTTGGCATTCATAGAATCTCTCCAATCCTTTCCACAAAATGTTCTTTAGTTTTTTTAAATGCTCTTCACACTGAAAAAAAAGGTTCTTTTAAGAACTGTTCACTGAATTTTTTTTTTTTTTTTGGAAACCAAAAATGCTTCTTCTGTGTCATCTCTGTGAAACCCCCCTTTTGGAATTTTTTAAGAGTATATAGTATTTTATTTTCTTATTCCTCCTTGTCAAAGATTAAGGCTGAAGTTGGCAGCATGGCACTAGTCATGAATGTTCAGGCCATTGTTTTCTTCAGCTGTTTCTGGTCTGTAGCCCATCCTCCAGAGCTCCAGCGGTCCCTCCTCCCTCTCAACCCGGAATGTGACGCTCATATGTGGGTGTGAGACATGCGCATCACTGCGATATTCCGCCTCTCCCATCCTCCGCGTTCTTTTCGATCACCTTTGATGCTTTTAGTCTGCTTAAAAATCGTATGCTTCAAGTACAGACATGCATCTTCACGTATGAGGATAAAGGATGCGCGAATGTGTAGTTTCCTCTGATTTATTGATCGGGTCGATCATAACGAGTAGGATTTTTTTTTTTAGATGAAATGATTCTCGGGATGAGATCGTTGTAAATGCGCGGTCAAACGGACCCCTCAGGTTTTTCTCGAGATGAAGCAGGAACGGTTTGTTTCCTCTAAGAGGTCGAGGGTTTGTGTGAAACGGCAGAATGCAGCTGGAGGAGTCGGTAATATTATCAGTAATGTGCTGAAGAAACGCAACGGCATCTCTAGAAGAGCGCCGCGCCTGCTGTGCACCCTAGAGCCAGGTGAATTCAGCATGCTTTAAACGCATTATTTTTATTCATTATTAATCTTTGCCCTGTCATTATAGATAAAACTGTTGCTAGGATTTCTTCCGCCCTTTTATTTGCGCTGGTGCTGAATGTAGAATGGTGTTTTTGTGATAATTAGGTGACCTAAAGGGCCTTCCCATATTTTGTGTATTCAATATAGGCCTAATTTTTATAATTTATATATATATATTTGCTATTTTAATATAATTGTGAATTATATATTTCAGTAAACTGTATAAGTTGTATAGATGTTAATATAATTTTTAAACTGGAAAAAAACGTTTTGAATTTGAGGTGTCCTGAAATGTGTTTTAGGTTTATTTTAGTCCCTTAAGAAATTATTTATTAAATATTATGCTCACTTTTAAATATTATGTCTTTATTAATTGGTCATTGCTTTAAAAGTTTTTGAGTAAAAATGCCCCTTTTTTAATATAAAAGGTGTATTACGCTGCACATGCCTACTGCTTTTCATTCAGACCCTTGTGTCGTGTCGTGTAATGAACATGAGTGCAGTAGGAGGGCTGGAGGGATGATTGTAATCACGTAGGTTAATCCGGAACAGCGCCGGCTGATGAGTGAAATACAGAAATGGTGCCATTCTACTCCTGATTGTTATTTATCGCATGGAACTATGACAGAGATGGACACGGGTTGGTGTTTATTTATTTTTATGTACCAGGAAAAAAGTCTGTAGGAGAAGTAGCCGCTTTTGTGTTGGTGAGGTAGAGTTGTTTACATACGCGTTTGACAGGATTTAGCATCTTTAGCAATGGCTACTGTGAAAGTTACAGCACTGTAAAGAATTCATCGGGTTGTTATAACCCTTCATTGCTCAATATGACGCCTTAACAGTGGGAAAAAAAACAGTTTATTTCGTCTTGATACATGATGGTGTCGTGTATCCGGAAGAAACCGCAGGCGGAAGTGAGATTCAGCACCGCTCTGCAACGGACAGCGACATTTATCAACTATTCGAGATCTCTCGTTTGGTTTTTCGTGGTCGATAATAATACACTAATACACTTGTCGTTTCCAGTCATTTCTGTTGGGTTTTTGGTATTTATTCCTGTTAGACAAAGAAGAGACTTAAAAACATGAGTTGGGTAACCTGCCTGCCATAAATAAAGAGCCATTGAATGAAAACAAACCTTATTATTAATGAGTTACAAAAGGGATGTAAGTTAGTAAATTTGTAAGAAGAGGTATCAAGAATATAAAGGAATATATATACAGTATATGAAGAAAACTTTATGATGTGATGAATTTCAGGATTTTTCTTACCAAACCATTCCTATTTTCTTGTTTAACTACTTGTCTGTGCGTTTTTTAGTTGGATATTAGTTGGAGTTTTTTCTAATGAGTGGTGATTACACAACATCCCTTCATTCATTTTTTAATGAGACACCTGCAGCTCCAGAGGAGACGTCTTTATATGGTCATCATTGTCTCACTGATGTCCTCTGTTTTGTCTTATTTCAGGGGTGGACACCCGGTTGAAGTTCACTATCGAACCTTCTTTAGGCAAGAACGGCTTTCAACAAGTATGTATTAGCTACCCACTGTTGAAGATGTGTGTCCAATAGGGCTGTGCGATTAATCGAAATCGAATCGAAATCGCGATTTGAGACGTTGCGATTTCCTAATCGCAAAGCCTGCGATATGGACACGATATTACTCTGTTCCAGAGCATATGCATGACTGCCAGCCTTGAGTTGCAGTCTTACTAACCAATAGAGTGAGCGCACCTCCGTTCTCCCCAATCAGCACTGCTCTAGCCAACTGCGTAAACACCCACCATTTAAAAAAAAAGAAAAAAAAAGAGAGAGACAGAGTGGGATTATGGCGTCTACTGGGTCAGATCGATAGTTAGGCAAATTAAAACTAAAGAAAAACGTATGCAACTTAAGCTTCGAAATGACAGACAATGAACAAACAAAGGTAATTTCCAAGAGCTGCGTCACAGCGCATATCAAAAGCTCCCGTATCGGTTCTGTTTTCAGTACTGGAGAATAAAAGATACATTCTTAGACGTTTTTGTTAGTATGTGAACGTTATCTTACACATTTTATCTCCCCAACAGATTAATTTAAAATAAGTTTATAATGCATGTTGGCTATTCCCAATTCAGAAGAGCGCACACACAGCCTGTGTCTGTGAATGCTTCTCATACTCGCTCCTCTCTGCCCCACGCGGCGCGAACCCCGCGTCACGGACGAGCCGTTCATGCTTGCCGCACTCACGCAGCCTGTCTCGTAATGCTCGAATATACTCGCACCCGGCTCCGCAAGTCTCCACGAGCGCATCTGGCAGTATGGACGAGGCTTGACCCACGCGCGCAACCTGTGTCGACTCGCACCTGGCTCCGCGTTTAAAACGAATGTAAATTCAGTCTAACTGCTTGCTAATTTCACTTGGATGAAATGAAACATTCAGCACATTTTCCACTTGCTCTTAAAATCCCAAATACTTAAAATGAATAAATCAGCCTATGTAACATATGTAATACTTTAATAATTGACTTAAGAAATACAGTTCTTTATTTATAAAAAATAAACAAATATTTTCTGTGAAATTCAGTAATTAAGTTAATTCTGTAAAAGTAGTTATACCATTATAATCTTGCCTGCTGAAGAAAAAAACAATAGAACCCCTCCCAAAACACAATAACAAATGTAATGGGTTTCAGGGTTATAATGGGAATTGTATTGGTTTTAATGTAACCTATAATGAGGTGTCTATTTGATGGATTCTATTGGTGGGATGTAATCTGGCAGATGGCAACCAATAGAACAACAGTAATTCATTTTGGAATAATGCCCAAAACAAAAAGGAATTTTGTAATGGTTTAATGGAAACTATAAGAATTTCTGTGATAGTTTCTATTGTTTTTTTCAGCAGGGTAATGATACCCATACTGTGCTGCACATTATTGGCTATATTGAGCTGAAGCTTGACTTTGCAAATTTAAAATCGCAAATCAAATCGCAATTGCAATCGCAATATCTGTCAAAAAAATCGCAATTTGATATTTTCCCCCAAATCGCACAGCCCTAGTGTCCAACTCCCCCTAAATAGAAATAAATAAACATTTTGGTTTGCATGTTGATTGTTTGTGTTTGTTTTGCTCTGTAGTGGTACGACGCTCTGAAGGCAGTAGCCAGACTCCCAGTAGGGATTCCCAAAGAGTGGAGGAAGAGGGTATATGTGGTGGAAATTTCTCTTTTCAGACACTAGCAATGTTTTCATATCTATGACATTTTATGTACTGTATAATGTTTGTGTAGTTATATGCAGTTACTTTTTTATTTTAAGACAATTATTTAAGCAGTTATTTATGGAAGCGTGTTTATGCCACAGGATAAAATCATCTTTTGTTTGTACAATTTTGAGTTTATATCTCACAATTTGGAAATTTTTCTCGTAATTTTGAGAAAAAGAAGACAGAATTATAAGGTATAAACTCGCAACTGCAAGAAAAAAAACTTAAGTCACAATTCCCTTCTTTATTTTTTATTTCATGTGAGAGAGAAGAATTGTGAGTAAAAAAGTCCAAATTGTGAGATAAAAATTCCAAATTGCAAGGGAAAAAAAGGTAAATGTCACGTATTACCTTTATTATTTTTATTTTATTTTATGGCTGAAATGGGCTTCCAATGTTGTTTAATTTTAAGGTGTATAATATATAAATACAGTGTATGTATATATATATATATATATTTATATATATTGTGAAGTCACTAAATATGCAATACAAGCTGTACAGTCATTATAAGGCACGTAAATAAATCGTGGCTTTAGAGTAGGTGTTTAGCATCAGAGATCTTTAATGGAATCGAGTCAGATAAAAGGTTATATGGTGCAGCAGGATATTTGCTCATTGTAGTGCGTCAGTTAGTGGGTAATGTAATAGGAGGTGTGTTTGTGTAGCTCTGGATGAGAGAGAACTGTGATCTATCGGGCACAAGTGAGCAAAGTTCAGTGTGCTTATTATTTACATAAGACCTGTAACACTTTGTTTCCCGCCTCATTCAGGACCTGCACAGGACCGGCTGCAGTTCATACTGTGGCCAGGAGGCGGAGCAGGACCGCGTGGTGCTGAAGCGGGTGCTGCTGGCATACGCCCGCTGGAACAAGACTGTCGGGTACTGTCAGGGCTTCAATGTTCTGGCCGCCCTCATCCTGGAGGTCACAGAGGGAAATGAAGGAGATGCATTGAAGGTTTGCCTAGACACCTATGAGCTCTGTGAAATTTTTTTTTTAAACATTTATTTTTGGCTGTTATTTACTTGCTTATTTATTTTTGAGGAGGCACCAGAGGCAATCCTTTCTTGATGCCCTAATTTTTATTTTATTTGCAACCAGAATTGCAACTTAATCTATGATAAAAATTTGGAAATTATTCATCCAACAGTTATCCAACATACATATACGTGTGTGTGTGTGTGTGTGATTTTATTTATGTGAATTTTTTTTTATTTAATATTTTATTTGATTATATATTTATTATTTTTGTTTCTCTTTCTATTGTATTTAATCTCCTTTTTATTTTGATAAATCTACTTTTTATATTTTATTTTATTTTTGAATTCCTTTTTTTTTCTTCTCATTTTCATATTTTTTTTCTATGTCATTTTAAAATATTTAATTCCTTTTTTAAAATAATTGTATTGGTCAAATCACATTTATGGTTTTTTTATATTTTATTGTTTTTTATTTAATATTTCATAATTTCATGCATTCAAATTATTATATTATTATATAAGCAAGAAAATATGCTAAAATTCATTCTTTTATTATTGTTTTTTGAAAGGTGATGATCTATTTGATCGATAAAGTGCTTCCCGATAGTTACTTCGCCAATAACCTGCGAGCCCTCTCAGTGGACATGGCCGTGTTCAGAGATCTGCTGCGACTGAAGCTTCCAGAACTTTCTCAGCATCTCCACCATCTCCAGAAAGTAGCCAATCGGGAAGGAGGAGGTGTGTAGCAACCCTGTATATATACTAGGGATATGCCGGTATCAAATTTTCATGTTGCGATTAATTGCTAATGCTTTTATTACGGTACACGGTATTATCACGGTATTGAAATTAAGTTTTCATGCAGAGCGTCTCTCACATGTTCCGCCATGTGCTTCTCGTCCGCGCTTGTTTACATCAGAGTGCATGCGTCTTTCACACAGCATACAGCGGTGTTGTGCATTTTGACTAGTTTATGGGAAAAGTATTCTTAAAATGCATTAAAAATTCTGAATAATTTGTAATATATAATTATTCACGGTATTTAGAAGTGCCCACGATAACAATATCGTGCATATTCATTACCGTGATATATCGCATTACCGAATACCGGCACAAGTCTAATATATACAGCATATGGATGCAAAAGAACGATGTCTGTTCCAGGTCAACTGCATTGTGTCGGCATTGTGTTTCAGGGAGCTATGAGCCTCCGCTCACCAACGTCTTCACCATGCAGTGGTTTCTGACCATGTTTGCCACTTGTTTACCCCATCACACCGTGCTGAAGATCTGGGACTCGGTCTTCTTTGAGGGCTCTGAAATGCTGCTGCGTGTAGCTCTCGCCATCTGGGCCAAACTTGGAGAGTAAGTTTATCAATCATCTGTCCATGATAGAGAGTGGCAGAATAGGCCAGATTCCAAAGAAAAATGTGATCATAAATTAAATATGAGATAATTTTCAGCTTGTTTCAAGCATTCTGCATCTCTCTCTCAGACGAATTGAGGAGTGCCAGACTGCCGATGAATTTTATAGTACTATGGGCTGCCTGACGCAGGAAATGCTGGAGCACAACCTTATCGACTCCAATGACCTCATGCAGGTAAGACTAAGCATATAAAAGATCTTGAATAATTAATGTAATTAATTATATATAAACCTTATCATATAACTAAATCAACTATAATAGCTTTAATGTTGCAAAATAGTGTTGAAAATGCCGGAAGTTTGCTTTTGGGGCTAAAAGTGTGTGTTTTCGTCCTGACAGACGGTCTACTCCATGGCCCCGTTCCCGTTCCCCCAGCTGGCTGAGCTCAGGGAGAAATACACCTACAACATCACCCCGTTCCCGACCCCTGTCAGAGCGAACAGCAGGTATGAGAGCTGAAGACACTCGACGACCACAGCACAGATGGCATCCGTGAGAGTTTAGTAGTCATAACACGTGAACATGACTGCAGGGTGTCGTTTTATGGCACATGTCACCTTTATTTATATAGCGCTTTTAACAATACAGATTGTGTCAAAGCAACTTTACAGTATTAAATAGGAAAATAGTGTGTCAGTAATGCAAAATGACAATAGTAAACATTCAATTTTCAGTTAGACACGTGTGTATATTGGCATGCAAATATCAAATGCAAATGTTCTGCCTTATCTTCACAAGCGTTATACTCAGTTTAATCATAATTTTTTACTTTTAAGAAGAGATGTAGGCAAGCAACAGTGCAATAATAAAGCATGTACATTTATTTCTCTCTATTTTAAAATATTTATTTACATATTTCAGTTATTATTTAATTAAATTATTTTGGATTATTTTGTTCTTAATTTTTTTTATTTTATATTGTATTATTTTTTAAATATTTATTTTCTATTTTATCTATCTATTTTATTCTGCAAAATATTTAATTATATTTTTAGTGTTATTTTTTTATTATATTATATTTTAATTCATTTTAATTTAATAAAATTTTATTATATTTAAAAACATTCTAAAAAGTATTTTATTTTTCAATTTTATTAATTAATTTCTTTATATTTTCATATTTAATTACTTCATGTGTTAAAGTTTAGTACTTTATTTTTGTTTCTATTTTTAAAATGTTAAAATTATTTTATTAATAAATACAACAATTATTTTTACATAATTTAATCTACATAATTTAATTATTTAATTAATTTTCTGGGTTTTTCTTTCTATTTTATTTAAAAAAAAATTGTTACTTTTTCATATTATAATGTCTGTTTTATTTTATGCATAATATTGTTGTTTTTCCCCATGTATAGTCTTGCACTCCATGGATGGGAGAGTGATGATGATGATGCTGACATGGATGATGAAGACTCTATTGTCACTGCTCTGGGTTGCCTGGGGCCTCTTGGAGGACTTCTGGCCCCTGAGATCCAAAGATACCAAAAGCACCTTAAAGGTCTGTGCTGAAAGCAGATTTAATAGTGCAGTCTGTGAGGTTACAAACGTCACTCCTGTTCCATGATTTTATATCCTGCTGAACACGGGAATTTATCAAATGCACAAGATGTTTCATGTAATGTTTAACATTTTATGAGTCTCTAAAGCTGTATTGGAATTGTCAAAATACGGGCGATCTCATGGAGTAATGCAAATATGAGCTCAGTGTAGCTCACTCTGCCAACCTAACCCTGGCAAATCCTTCCCAATACTGTCTGAATTTGTCCTCAAATGGATTTAATTCTCAGTGCATTTGTTAGTTCTTGTTGTATCTGAGGTGGGTCAACTCATTCCAGCTGTCCTTAATTACAGCCTTCAGTTCCAGTGCAACTAAACAAATGAAAGGTTTGGAAAGGAGCCGACGCAGCCATTACTCAAGTTACCCAACAAAATGTTTCTCAGATATTCTTGCATTTTCATTTTAGATGTTTTCATCTGGCCTGCAGATCAGAGAGCGGAGCAGAGCTCTCACGGCAGTAACATGGCCGAGATGAGTCCTGGGGCGGTGGGCGCGGGACGGGCCGAGCACCAGGCGGCCATCAACAGCATGATGCTGGAGCGCATGAGCACAGACATCAGCGCGCTGAAGAAGCAGTACTCACGCATCAAACAGAAACAACAGCAGCAGGCTGGGCTCCTGTACATCCACACAGGTACAGGTCTTCATTTTGAGCGTTTTATTTTTTATTTATTTTATTTATTTAGTCATTTAGCAGACACTTTTATCCAAAGCGACTTACAAATGAGGACAATAAAAGCAGTCAAAACTAATAAAAGAGCAACAATATATAAGTGCAAATGACAAGTCTCGGTTAGCCTAACGCAGTACACGTAGCAAGGTATATATATACATACATACATGCATACATATACATATATACATACATATATACATGTATACATACATATATACATATATATACATACATATATATTATATACACACACACACAAAGAAAAACAAGTAGATAGAATAGAAAAAATAGAAAGCTAGTGTTTGTTTGTTTTGTTTTGTTTTAAATACAAAAATAAAAAAGAAGATAAATATAGATAAAATAGAAGTTTTACAGTTGTAGATGAGTTCAGGAAGTGACAGAAGGGATATTATGTAGTGTTGGTCAGTGTGTTGTTGTGACATTTTTCCCAGGACCTCGAGTGGAAGCTGAAACTATTGAACCTCATCAAGCCAGTAAACAGAAGAAGCACCACACTGGTACTGATTTTTGTGGGTCAACTATGGTTTCATTCTAGATAATTGGTGCAGTACAGCTGTTTTGATCGGTGTCGGGTCTGCTACTGTGTAATGCAATCACACTTCGTTTGGCATTTTGGTGACAGTTGAATTGATTAAAATCATGATATTTGCTTTGCAGGGGATTGGTACATGCTAAAGCTTGTTAATTACTTTTACATTTACATTTCTTAAAATATTGGCACATGGTCTGTGCCAATAATGGGCAGCACGCCAACATATAGTGCCGTTGTGCTTCAGGAGTCCCGAGTTCAAGCCCCGGCTCGCTGAACTTTCCCGATCCCATCCCCCTCTCTCTCTCCCACTTTGCTTCCTGTCTGAAAATACTGTCCTAAACTAATAAAGGCAAAAATGCCACAAAAAAAACTTACATATTATTTTGATTGATTGATTGATTGATTGATGGAATGGAACATGTAATATTGGAGTAGCACCTCTACAGGATATAATGGAGAATTAAAGTCAACATGAATTCATAATAGGCCCTATTTATTTTCAGAACACACATTCACAGAACACACACAGTATTTTTAGCAATTCATAACTGCACACTATTTAAAAAGTTAAAATTTTTGTAATTTGTTATAAATAATTGTATTTTATATTCGATAGAATTTATTATTTTTTATCTGGATTATGGGATGAATAGAAAGTTCAAGTCTTCACTGCCATTTTTTTGATTGAATTAAAAGATTAAAAGCATTTAATTAACGGCATTAATTTCTTTTAAAATGAATTCATAATAGGCCCAAATTATTTTTAGAACACATTCTTAATGTGCACAATTCATATCTGCACATTATTTAAAGAAAAAGATTTATATAAAATTGTATAATTTTGTATAATTTATTTATATTTATATTATTTCTATAGTAATTTATTATATAGTAAATTATACATTATGTGTGTGTATATAATTTATTATATATTTATATTTATTATAATAGGAATTTTTGTTTTATTATAATATGAATTTTTGTATTTTTATATCAATATGGTACAAGATTATCCTATTTAAATAAATGTGATGAACGTTTTAATTCAAAAGTAATCTAAAAGTACTCTATTATATATGCATATATGTATAAAGCATTAATTGCTTTATATATACATAAACACATTTTTTGCAATGATAACTCAAATGTGGTGATCAGACACTTATAATGATGTGACAAACATAGGCCTATGTAGTGGAGGCAGGGTATTTAACAATTTAACAATAAACTTTATTATTCAAAGGGAGTCTGATATCAGTGCACTTAACAGTAAACTTCACTTCACTTATTATAAATAACTTCAATACCACAAATAGAACAAAATATATATAACTTGAATTAAGAAATTAAACAAGGTAACTGTGTAGGGCAAGCAAGCTACTGCCAAACCAACAGGGGCAGATTTATGCAAGAAGCACAGCTTTTCCAAATGTAAACATCTAAAAAGAATAAATAATAATAATTAATAATATTTTTTCACAAACTCTGTGTTGTGTATTTTCTGGTAATCAAATGAACATGCAGGACATTCGTATTTAAATCGTATTTTTGCAGTTTAATATTCACAG